CTCTCTCTTTCTCTCTCTCTCTCTCTCTCTCACACACACACACACACACACACACACACACACACACACACTCACATACACACGCACACACATTCTCTTGTCTATTGATGGGGAGCGCCACCTGTTGGAAACTGGGTCCAACGTCCCATGAACATCGTGAATAAAGCACCAATCGGGACCCCACACACACTTTCTTCGAATTGCGAATAGCGAACACAACAAAACATACATATAGCATAATCATTACCTTACCCTTCACGAACCACATCAACAAACGAACTACGGGCTGCGCACCCGTGCCCTCATGGTAAGTCAATCCCTAATCACAGATGTGTTGTGTGTTGCATTGTCCAAGAGAGTGACAGTGTGGAGCCAGAAGGGATTCTATGCACCTCACTCCACCACTCACCACAAGCATAAAATACAAAAAATAGGCTACAACAGTTTAAATTTCAATATTTTAGCGAAAGATTCATTTTTGTTTCGTGCATTTAGTGAGGTGTGGAGAGAGGCCCCAAGAGGGGAAAAGGAAAATGACTCTTGGGCTAGAACATGAAAAGATATTGACTTACCGTAAAGGCACACGTGGGCAGCCCGTAGTTCGTTTGTTGATGTGGTTGGGGAAGGGGAAGGTAGTGATTATGTTGTGTTTATATTTTGTCATGTTCTCTATACAGTACTCCAAAAGTGTGGGGGGGGGGATCCGGGCTGGTGCTTTATTCACGATCTTCATGGGACACTTGACGCGGGACTCGGTTTCCAGCAGGTGTTGCTACCCACTAATAGACAGGAGCATTATGTCGTGAGTCCACTAGGGGGATGATCATATCAGCTACTCTAGTGGGATGAAGTATGAGGTTTTTTGGGGGGGAAGGGGGGGGAAGTGTGTGTGTGTGTGTGCATGTGTGCAAGTATGTATGTGAGAGTGAGTGAGTACATGAGTGTGTGTGTGTGTGACCGAGACGGAGACAGAGCCCTGCAGCATGCAGCATGTCAGTGGCAGGGAGCAAAAGGGCAGAGACACTGACCTCGAAAAAAAAGAAAGGTAATATTTTATTCGAATATCGGAGTTTTTCTTTTTGAAATTCGAATAGAAAGGGTAAGTGTTGTATTCGAGAACAATGTGTATGTGGTCTATTACAACTGCCCTTCTATTAGAGAAAAGTCGTCTCATGCCGTTTCGATTTTGAAATGTTCAACTCAAGGACCACGGCCTCCTTGGCCTCTTACGGGCACCTACCAGTCCTTTGCACACAATAACTGCCCATTTTTCATGAATTGGCCCCCAACAAATTCACCACCCTTCCAACTATAGTTTGGACCCGAACGGACAACCGGTAGAACAAACGACGATGAAATTAATTGACTTACTATGAGGGTACTGGTGCGCAGCCCGTAGTTTGTTTGTTGATGTGGTTGGGAAAGAGAAAGGTAGAGATTATGTTGTGTTTATGCTTAAAGTTTATCATGTTCGATATACACAACTCAAAGAGTGTGGGCGGGGGGTATCCCGGTGTTGGCACAAATACCCTTACAAGGGTATTTGTGCATATTTTTACCTCTCACGCGAGACACATCTAAATGATACTTGAGAGAGTAGCACATCTTTAGGAGACCCGCATCAGACTTTCAAAAGTCCGAACGGGGAGCGCGCATATGATCAAAATCAGAGAGTGTGTGAGCGCTCACTTCGAGGGCACACGAGATATCAAACCTTGCACAATAGCGTGAGCTAGAGAACGGTTATGGTGTGGATTAGAAGCACATGCGTGATGAGTGCACTCGCACAGAGACCAGCATATTGGAAAGTCATTGTCAAGGTTAGTTATGGGAACCGTGGTCTGAGGTGGTTTTCGAAGGCGGCGTTTGAGTCCCGTGTAAGGTGCGTTGAATACTTAGGTCGATCGCGTTCTAGTCAGTCATAGAGGTTGCCAACGACCTTGGGAACATTGACACGCACGAGGTATACTACAGACAAAAGTCGGGGTTTTTCCCGACGCCAAGGTAGTAAAAAAAATGGCTCGTTCAGGGAAGCGGCGGATTGAGGCGGATTAGGTCTTTGGCGGTCGTGCGACCTTGTCAGTTGCGTGGCAACTATAGGTAAAGTCGGCCCTCCAAACGGAAATGCGGTTGTGGTAGGATCAACCGGTAGATCAAATCGTGGTTTTGGCGCATTTTCGCACACCTAAGCAAGATGCAGTTACTTTTGATATGGAAAACTGCGCCTACTAAGTTCAGCCATGGGCGTAGCACTATAGGTTACGACTTCTGACTTACAAGCCACATACTTGGGGATCAAGACCAGTCGGCGACGACTGAGCGTTGGAGCAACTTTGAAGGAAGCCAAAGGGTTGAGGATCTAGCCAGACAATTCTCTTCGGTTTTGCTTACGATCTCCTCGGTGAACCCGAGTGGTAGGCCCAAGAATGACGTTCCAACGATCCTCCCCCTCTTGTCCCTCATCCCATTTTTTTAAATTCTTATTATCATTATTAATTTTGTTTTATTAATTATTAAGTCTCAAGTTGGGACGGGGGCCCAGTATCGACATCAGGACTGATCCTTGGACCAACGGGCCTAGCTCGGTTAGTACACTCCTGAATTTATTGAAACAGAGGCCTGAGTTCGAAATCCACTTTAAACAGATAAGTAGAATACTACATATTTGATTTGTCTAAGCCCACATAATTCGAAGATCGTATCTCAAGATCATCCCGTGGTTGTAGTCCTTTAGGACATCCGTTAAAATTTGAACGACACAGGGGATATTGGAGTGGTCCCTGTAGAGAGGTGTTAGGAAAGCATTATTATAAACTGACCGGGGGAGGGGGGGTAGATTCAGGGTACCTCAAAGTAGCCTACAAGTTATAGGTTGACCATAAAGTAGGTGGTTTGAGTGAAGCGGATATTGCTTTCCCTTTTTCCTTTTTTTTTCGTTCGCTCGCTCATTCCTCGATTGAACGCTATCGAATTTTGGGGTGCTCAATCGTCGGCGGGAGTGCGTTGTGCTAGCTTTAAGGCGGGTTGACGCCAGTGATAACGAAAGGCTCGGGGGGTAGATTCAGGCTACCTCAAAGTAGCCTACTATGAGTTATAGGTTGACCTTAAAGTAGGTGGTCTGAGTGAAGTGGATGTTGCTTTCTCTTTTTCCTTTTTTTTCGATCGTGTGCTCACTCCTCGATTGAACGCTATCGAATTTTGGGGTGCTCAA